CACCGATGTCAGTGTCAAAATGCTTTGTCAGCTCCCTGAGACCACACATCAGCTGTGACCTCTGGAGAACCTCATCCCTGGTCCCACCCTGGGGTCTTGATAATGGAGAGCGGCCAGACCCCTCTGTGATACCTGAGACTGATCCCTGTCGGCTTGGATGTGTGACTTCTCATGCCTGAGCTATACCTAAGCAAACAAAACCCTCTACATGATGCTTGGGAGCCAGCCTGGCTCCTTGTATACCCCAGCCTTGATTAAAGATGGTTGGGAACAACATGTGAACAAGCACCCCTTAAAAAAACCTGTTTCCCTTAAAGAAACCTGAACTTATAAACCATATACTGAGAAAACTGGGCAGGCAGATAAAGATGGAGAGACACTAGCAGCAGTGTCTTTGAGGAGAGCTGTGCCATGGAGCAGCAAAGTGCTGTTCCTGAAAAACAGGGCATTGCAGATGCTGGGTGGGGGGGAAGGGTTGGTCAGGACATAGAATAGTAAGGTAATTTTCAGGTGAGCACTGTCCTGATCACTGGGAGGTCTTGAAGATGTGTTTTGGTTTGGAAGAGGTTAGGCTGGAGGTGCTGCAGCGAGTATGTGGGTTATTTGGGTTAATGAGGTGGTCTGTGCATGGCACTGGTCTGTGTGGCATTGTGGTATGGAAGCACTGACATGGCCTTGACTTGCTGGGAAAGCAGATGTCAGTTCTGGAAGAGACAGGCTGGGGTGAGCGAGTGGGTGGTGTCATTGGTCATGGGAGGGATGGGCTGTTGGGCAGGCTGCCTGGGTCCCTAACCATGGCCAGCTTGCACAGCCCTGGTGTGTCCTGAGGGGTCCAGGCCGCAGCATCTCTGTCCTGTCCCACCAAAAGCCCTGCCTGTCACCAACCTGCTGTAGCCTTGTAGAATGTGTTTCCTTCCGCCGCCCTCATTTTGCTTTCTCTAGTTTTGCTTTGAGTCGTCTTCAGTTTCTTCTCTCTCTTCTTCCCTTTGCTGGGATGTGATACTCAAGGAGGGTGGTGGCAGACCAGATCCTGACACATGGGGGCTCAGAGGGCCAGGCAGGAACCCTGTGCCTGCCCACTCCACTGCCCCAAGACCAAACTTACTGTCATGGAACTGGGGCAGAGCCTTGTTGGAGGGTGCTGAGCTCTGTCCTTACGACTGGAGGGACCACCACAAGGCTCACCTGAAAGTCAGGTGTCCCAAATCCATGTGGACTGATACCTGCCCACATCTTTACATCCACCTGCTCCATTAAATCTCTCCCCATCGCTCAGCATAAGTCCAGGGTGATGGGGCAGTGTGCCCTCTCTAAAATCTGGCTTGGGCGTACCCCCATTTCCAGAGGACCTGATACTCCTTGCCTCAAATCCACCCTGAGATAGGTGGACCCTTCTCCAAGGGCTTGAATGTGGAGGCAAGCGAGCCTGGAAGGGAACCTGCAGCTATTGCTTGTCCCTAGAGGTGATGGGTTTCACCATAACAGGGTGACAACCATTCAACGTCAGCAGTGGCAAGGTCGGAGGGGGACGACTGAGGCATAGAGAGCTGACATGGAGCTGTGTCCCAGGAGGATATGGATGCCCAATTTACCATCTGCTTCAAGGAGGGGAAAAAAGAGGATCTGTGAAACTCTATATGAATCGGCCTGCCTTGGTACCCAGAAAAACTCCAGAACAAATTAGTAAGGCCACCAAGCAGTAACACTGACAGGGCAGTGCTACGGTTGAGATCACACATTTAACAGGAACATGTGTCAAACCAACCTCATTTTCTCTTCACTAGGGCGACAGGCTGGGTACTGCAGGGAAAGCGGAAGTGATGCTATGTGACATTCTCATAAGCAAATTGGGGAAATGGGAAATTCTGCCACTGTGGGTGAATGGCTTCCCAAGAAGCCATATCCCATGAGCAGTTATCAATGGCTCATGAGAGCAGACACATCAAACTAGTTTTCTGTGGAAGCATGGCTCACATGAAGGCAAGATGCTATTGAGGGAGGGTGTAGGGCCTATTTGAGTGGAGGGTTAGAAAACAAATTCACCCTGATGACCTGGAGAAAATGTCCTGAAAGAATGACTGGTGAAAAAGAATTGTGTGTATTCAGTGCAGGAAAATATGACGGAAGTCTTCAGAGTGGGAAAAAGCCCCGATATGAAGCAAGCAGTTTAGGGTTCTGCCCTGTTGCTCAGATGTCAGTCCATCTGTCCTGCAAACCTTGCCATGCCCATGAACACAACATCCCCACTGCTGAGGGGATGTTCCTCTCTGCAGTCCTGCCTGGTTACCGGGGTTGAATGTCCCTTTCTGCCCCTCCTAGGAACTGCTGGCAAGATAGAGCCACCTGTGTATGGGATGACCCATCCCAAAAGAAGGAATGGATATCACAGCAAGGATGGGGTGCACATGGGCCAATGAGAATCTTCATGGGCCTGGGCTGGAGGCCTGGAGGACAGGGGAGGCTGACACACACTGAGAGATGAAGAGGAGGAGAAAGAACTTTGGGAAACTTTCCTGCTTCCGCAGGGGCTGCTCACCCAGGGGTGGGAGCTGAAGTAAAAAATCATTTCAGGCTGTGTGAAAGCAGCAGGGAAATTACCACACAGGCTGCACCTTGTGTACTTCTTTCACATATCCCATGGAGGACCCATGACCAGCATGCCGGGATGGAGAGGATTGTCAGGGTCTGTCTCCAGCAAGGGCTGCCAGCCCAGTGGGGTCATTCTGTGTCCAGGACAGGGCTCATCCCCGCTCTCTGTTGAGGTTGAGCTGCTCCCTGTGGCAGTAGCTTTGGTTTCCAAGCAGGTGCTGGTAAGCAGGTGCTTGGGCAGAGCCAGGACGTGTGTGTGAAACAGAACAGGACGTCAAAGCAGTTTCAGCTCTGGGGGCGGTTCTGGGAAAGTCCCTTTAGTAAAAGCAAGTCAAAATCTTTAATAGAGGGACCAGCACCCGGCTCTGTCTCAGAGATGACTGTGAGGGCTCGGTGCATTGTGAGTTGTGATTTGAGTTGTGTTGCCATGATGTAACAGGGGACTGGTTTCCATCACAGCTGGGTTTTGGAGACAGGGACCCATCCCTGTGCAAGGAGTGCCACTGGATCCCCACTGAACACTGTGTCTGAGGGGCAGTATTTTGGCCCCTGGAGTGGGAAGCATGGGGAGCGGTGCCTGTCCCATTGGGAGCACCCCTCTGCCCTGTGGCAGCAGTCCTGGGGAGGAAGAGCTGGGCTGAAAGCACAGACCCTCCAGATGAAGTGATCAGTGTGTTTGGGGTAGCACACAGGCAGATCTGCCTGCATTTTTCTTGCATTCAAACCCCCACAGAGTAAATCTTGGACAATAACACAGAGAAGTCCAAAGGGGCAGGCAGATGCTGCAGAGTGAGGGCCCCATTCTGGTACCCTGCTGCTGCTGGGTCACCATGTCATACTAGGCCATGGTGCCCACTGTAAGGCAAGCCTTGATGCTGCTTAGCTCCCACTTTCTGCACCACAAGATTTGCAGCCCTGGAGACCCCTCTGTGACAGGATGCATGAAGGAGTCTTCTATAGTGAACCTGTAGAAATGAGATCCACTGGGAAAGGAGTGAGAAGAGGCCAAGGAGATCTGCTACTTCCTCCCTTCCTCTTATGTACCAGTGCTGAGCCAGGGATGTTCCCTGGTCCCCACCTGTGAGCACTGGAAAGGCTGGTGGGATGACCAACCTTCACTGGTGACCTTCACCATGACTTCACTGTCCTGCTTGTAGTTCACTGCCTTAGCCGAAGCAGGACCCCATGTACCCATAGTAGGGCTCTTGGGTATGGGGTGACTCAGGTCCCATCCACAGGTTAGGGCTTTCTCCCCCTTCATAAGGATTCTGAAGACCTTGGCCCCTCTGCATCCAAGAACACTCTTTCCTTCCTCCTAATCCTGCTTCAGATGATAGCATCAAGGGGTAATTAAGAGTGGAAGGACCTCAAAACAGGAAAGAACCTCAAAGCTGAAGATATGGTCTGCCCTGGGACCTTGTTATGTCCCTCTGCTCTCACAGGACTGGCAGCACACATTGTGAAGGTGTTGGGGGGCTCTTGGTACAAACGACTTGTAGGCTTTTCCCTTCCAGCAGCAAAGATCAGAGGCTCCCTGCTCATCGCTGGGACTTACCTACATTGACTGCCCGAAGCTGGACTTGCCTTATCAAGCAGCAGATCTTTCTCTAAATCAAGACCAATTATAATTTGACATCTTATCTAACCTGCTCCCTGTCCTGCATTGCTCTCCATGGCATTTCCTGGGGGACCTTTGCACCTGGAGAGGGGTGAGCTGGGAGACAGGGCTGCAAGCAACCCCAGCTCTCCTGTTCATACCTTCCCTAGGTGCTCTCAGCTCAGAGCACACCTCACCTCTTTTGGTTTTACGTGCTGCGCTGTCCTCCCCAACTTTCCACCCTGCAGTTTCATGTCAGGCCTTTTTCTGCTTAAGTTGGCTGAAAGTTGGTAAAAATAGACCATGGTTGATGGCAGCTATTGAGAGAGATAAGGTTACCTGGAGCTTTATCGGCTGCTGAGTCCTGTGTGGGTTTCACTTCCATTATTCCTAAGCTGGGTGCAACCTCTCTCAGTTCACCCCACTGCCGCAAAGGTGATGGGCATGGGCAGCCTGGCAGGGGGTTTTGTTTCCAACCTCTCTGCCTATGGACAGAGCAGCATCATGACAGCATGGCCCTGCAGGGTCAGGGGTTCATGTGTGGATCTTGATGAAACCCACCTGTCCTTGCTTTGGGAGACATTTTACCTGGCCAGGACCTGGTGCAGCGTCAGCAGGGACTGTTGACCCAGAGATCAGGAGGGGGCGGTGCTGCTCACATGGGAGCAAAGGTTCCCCTCTTCAAGTACAAAGACATTGTACAAAGAGGAAAAGCTTGGGGAAAAGACAGTTTCACATGTGCATTAGCCCTCAGAAGCCACAAGCTTGACCTGCAAGCATGGTCACTGCCACTTCCACAGCTCCAGGTGGAACCATGATGAGCTGGCAGGACATTTTCAAAGAGAAGCTTGCAGAAATGCACGTAACAGAGCAGTGGACACTTCAGGAGGATGACACCCTGAAGGCGAAGGTCCTCAGTCCTCACTGGAAGGAGTTTGTGCAGCGCCGTGCTCTTGGGAGGTAGGGGACTGCCGACTCGGTCCCCATCAGAGCGGGAAAAGGGTTGATGGGCTGCCATGTGGATCTTTTCCTTTTTCAAAATTTGCTTGTTGGAAACAGGTTTTGACACAAAAGGGGCAGTTCGGAGGTGGGTGAGGCTGGAAGGGGATTTCCCATTTTTGTTCAAAGCTTAGTAGGTTATTGCCAAACTGGAAAACATGATAATTAGAGGGGAGAAGAGTGCAGCAGCCTCCACAGGGCTGAAGGGCAGCTGGTATTTGGCCAGAATTTCTCCATGTTGGTGTCAAGATGCAAGAGCTCCTCCAGTTAGCAGGGGTAGTTACACCGCACTAGAACCAAATCTTCTGTGTTTGGACACAGAGGATGAGGACAGCGAGAGCCACCGTCTGCCGGGACCTGGGGTGATGCCTCAGCAGCCCCTGCACCTGCACCAGGCTGTGAGGTCTCGCAGCAGAGAGAGGCTGTGGCTCTGCATTGCTGATGAGAAGCCCCATCCCAAACATTTCCACCCTGGGCATTGATCAGACACCCTGCTGAGGTGGCAGCAAATGGAGACCTTTGTTTCCAGCCCAGATTGTGCAAGATGAAGAGCTGCAGGTTGCGGATTTTTAGACTCCTCAAGATCCTCACCTGTGCAGCAGCCTCCACCCACACCTTCCTTCTATTTTACTTCTTTTTTTTTTGTCTTACCCAGTCCTGGGCTTGATGTTGGCTTTCTGCTGAGCTGTAATGAGCTGGCATGGGTGAGGGGCTGGGGTCCCAAACAGAGGCCTGATGTTTCCCACCCCAAGGACCCCTGGTCTTGGCAGTGGGGGAAGGATCCCAGCAGACAGCCTGGCTGCTAAGATCTTTAATGCTGGGACCAGCCCTCAGCTCACATTTGTAGTGAACTCCCCAGCCTGGCATCATGCTGGTAGGGGGATGACAGTTCAGTGTAAAGCTTGCAGGAGCCATGGCTTCCCTGGTCCCTACTGGCTGAGCAGGAAGCCTCTGGCTCAATATGGGGAGCCTGTGATGAGTTGGTCTCATCTGTGCCCTCTCAGATTTCAGTGCTCCCAGTGCTGTCACAAATGGACGTCGGCCAAAGTGCTCATCCTGTTCCACATGCGCCAGTGCCCAGGCTGGGGCATAACACGGATGCGAGTCTTTCGCCAGGAATGCAGGCGCTGCCCCAGCCCTCAGCTGGAGTATCCTGAGTTCAGCCTGGAGACTGTGGAGAGGATTCTGCACAATCTGGTGGTAAAGATCCTCCAGTATTTCTACAATAAGCCTGTCCAGTCCTCCGATCTCCTGGAAGTTGCGGTGGATATACCAGTGACGGGGCCGCACAACAGTGCCCGCTGCGAGGCCTGCAGGCTCGGCATTTGCAACAAGTCACGGCAGGCCCCGGCACTGGATACCTGGAAGACCTGGAAGGCCTTGAGGGATGCCTGGAAGGCCTTGATGGATGCAGACAAGGACAGGACCCATCACACCAAGTCAAGCCCAGCCCCGGAATGTGTTGACAGGGAGTGCTTGTTAGATGCAGATGGGTCCCTGAAACACCAGGGCTCAGGGCCCCACACAGCCTCGATCCACTGCCCCTCACGCTGCAGTAGCAACTTCCCCTGGAAACGCTGCTGCTGCATTGGCAGCTCTTTGCTCTTTGTTTTGGCAATGATCATCTTCTTTGTGGTTTATTTCACCAGGATGTAGTGGGACCTGGGGATTGCAAAGAAGAGTTGAGGTGATGGCTTGAGGAGCTGATGGAGCGCCTGGAAAACTGGCTTATGGCTCAGCTAGGCTCTCCTGGCATGGGAGGCTCTCCTGGTGGCGTGGGAACACATCAGGATGCCTCAGCCAGGCACCTTGTCCCAAAGCCTTGGGGAAGCTGGTGGGTGTGATGCTTTCTTAGGGAATATGTTCCGTATGTGGATAACTCTCAGCTACCCCATGCAAAGGATAAGGTTTATTACTTGCAAGAATAAAAGAAGCCCTTTATCCCCAGCCTAAAGATGCATTTGTGCTTTTTAATTTCTCTAAAGCCTTTTCTAAGTGTGTGTGAGCAGCTTGGAGAGAAGCTGGTGCTGCCTTTATCCTCTATCTGAGCTCAGCTTCCAGGGAGGCACATCCTTAGTCTCTCCTGCCTTTGCTTGCATAGCATCAACCCCTGTATGGGCCACTCACTTAAGGGTTGGACTCGATGATCCTTGTGGGTCCCTTCCAAGTCAGAATATTCTGTGATTCTGTGAAATTGAACATGGCAGAGAGGTAAATCCCTGGCTGTGCAGTTTCTGAGGTGCAGTCCTCTCCTCTCCTCCCTGCTGTGTCCTGCAGGGCCCTTTACTCTGCTCACTGTGGGTTTGCTTTTTCTGCTGATGTAAGATTCTCCCATTTTTTCACATGTGCAACCCGCAGGATATTGGTTAAAAAAAAAAAATGTACATAACAGAAAGCCCTGTGTGATCCATGGGCCGCGTGGATTTGGTTTCTTGAGCATTCCGTCCTGCTTGCCCCACCAACTCTCCCCCTCCCCCAGCGCCTTTTCTCCTCCACAGCCTCAGCAGCCCTGGCCATAGAGCCACCAGATGGAGCTGCAGATCTCCGGCGCGGCACTGGGAAGCCCTGGGACCAGCGAGCCGACAGAACTGGGACGGGACAACATTCCCTAGGTGGGGGATGCCCTCCCTCCTATTTCTGTGACCAGCTGTTTCCCTGTAGCATGGTCACCCAAAGCCTGTCCTGCGTGGGAATGGAATTGGTCTGTGGATGAGTGGCTCTGCTGGGGAGGAGGCTGATCCTGCAGCCTGGACCAACTCCCCTCCTATGATGGGAGCTGCCCGCCCTCTCCCCGCCGGCGTTATGTCATGAAGCAGGGACATGGCCAAGTTTCTTTCTGCCATTGCCAATAGCCCTCTTCTTTCCATGTTGAGGTTTTCCCCGCCCCAGTCATCTTGTCTGGCTGTCTGCAGCCTCCCCAACCACCCAGCTGCTGAGGGGCTACTCCCTTGTCTGTGCCTGAGAAGCCAACTCTGGTGGAGACTACATCCATGTGGGGGTCCTTATTTTCTTGCTTGAGTCTCTCTGCCCTTTCACCCATCCCTTGCTCCCCTGCAAGTCTTCTGCACACCTCCTGTGCTCCTCATCCACAGCCTTATGTAAATACGCTGCTTTTGTCCTGATCCCCTCCTTGCCTCTGCCTACTTGCCTGCCTGTCTCCTCATGCTGTGTGAGCATGCCCCCTCCATCATGCAGCCCCTTCATCCCCTCCCCAGTACTCAGAGCCACCTGTGCATATATAGGTTTCTCAGCCATGGTCTCCTTTTTGGGGTCCTTTTCAGGATACCCCTCTCTGACAAGCAGCTTTGCCCATCTCCTGCTTGTTTCTTAGCAAACTGTTCTCAAACTGCTTCTTTCTGCAGCTCTTGGCACTTTTGGAGTACAGAGCAAGCCCTTGCAGCTCAGTGCAGCCCCTAAGGTTGGTGAGCAGTGGCCAGGCCCCCAGCTGGCATGGGAAAAGTGGAAGGTGGCTGAGGGAAGAGGGATTCTCTCTCTGTCTGTGGGTCCTGTGTAGGTCCTGGCTGTTTCCCCCAGTCTGTTTGAAACTGGGCTCTGCTGCAGCCAACTCTCAGCTCACGCCTGGCACTCACATGCAGCCAGGGGCAGTAAAACCTCTTCAGGGACGTTTTGCTGGCTTTTCACCACAGCCAGACTGATCAATTGCTGTCTCCGCGCCTGTCTCCCCGGAGAGAAGCTCTCACCACTCTGGCAGGTTGCGAGGTGCCAACAAAAGCAAAGCCCATTGTTGCTCCCACTTTTCTCCTTGGCTGCCTGTTGCCAGCCCACCCTGCAAACACTGAAGCGCCCGTGGGGCACGAGGGGTTGGCACTCTGCGGCAGCAGCTTGGTGAGCAGGGGGCAAGGACTGGATTGTGCTGGGGATTTCCGGGCAGAGCTATCAACAGGAGGTGGAGGAGAGTCTGTATTTATGAGTTATCTGTTGTAGGGCAGCAATATTTTTTAATGTGCCCCAGAGCTGACTGGGCTTAGATCATACAGATGATGGTTTAATGCTCAGAGGACCACACTTTGATTTTGCTTTTGCTCTCTCCTCTGCTCTACCCTCAATGTATCTGCTCATGTCAGCAGACCCATGAGCAAGCCAGACCCATCGCTCTCCTCCCTGTCATGAATGCAGAGGAGCCTGGCACTGTTTTTCATTTCTGTGCCATAGGAAAATAGGGATCAATAACTCAGCTCTCAGATTTGGACCCAGGCACATAGTTGGAAACAGTGCTCGTGATTTTAAGCTCTCTCCAAAGGCTAGATTTTCACAGCCTGTGATACAGAGATGCCCAGCAGAGCTTTGTGCCTGCCTCAGCTCACATCTGAGCTTGCTGCAGAGCCTCTGCTGTGAAGACACACTCTCTCAGTCCAACAGCTACTGGGGAGGGGTTGATTTTTCACTCCTTTTAGGGCAAAAATCACATACCTGGTTTTTTTTCCTCATGGCAATTGAACTCAGATTTAATTGCTATTCTCAGCATACAGGTTGCTGCCCTCTCCTCCTGCCATTGCCCCTTCAGTGATGTGCTCAGGTTATAAATAATTGAAGGGCAGAATCTCATCTGTCGCCCTTTTTTGTGATTTGTATTCAGGGCTACTCAGGGACTGTCTCAGCCCATGAAGCTGCGTGGGCCATGGCTGAGCAGCTATCGGAGTGAGGGATGGTGTGAGAATCCACCTGGGAGAGGAGATGTGCATGGCAGAGACTAGCAACCAGCCTGGACCATGTTCCTCTTGGAATAAAAGTCTCAGGGCACAAACTCAGTACATATAAAAGTTTTATTTTGTTCTCAGGAGGAAGACTGCAGAGAACCATCCTTACATGACATTAGATATTTTACAGAATGTAATATCAAAAAAAAAGAAATATATATATATATATATTAGAGAATACCTTGCAGTTACATGACATAGCCAAGAGTACAGTTCATAGTATGTCTGCAAGACTGACCTTCCTTAGGCCTTCTGTTCCTCTACATGCTCTACAAATGGCTTTTTGGATAATAACAAAATGTCAGAGTGGCTCGTCCACTGTTGGCTTCTTCCTTTCATGGCAAAAGCAAAGGAGGAGGAGGTGGAGAGGCCGGAATGAGGCTACAGGCACACAGAGAGAACAGCAGGCAATTTTTGCATGTTGCTTACAGCTCTAGGAGGCCTTTGCTGGCAAAAGAAGGAGAAGGTGTCCCCACTGAAGGAAGGTAAGCTCACCTGACCTTGTTCCTTGGCAGGGCTTATTTGTCTGCATGGGCCATGGGGGGAAGTTGGTGAGATATGAATACCTCTGGTGCATTAGGTGAGTTTGGGTCAGTCTAAAACGACTTGGACACCTGGAATAGGCCAAGAGCCATGAACAAATGCCAAACACCATCGGTAAAGGTAAATCAGCTAAATCAATGGCCTTAAAAGCAGTTAAAATGGACTAGGTTCTTGCAAGAATGAATAAACTGCCATGCAGGACTAACCAGGCTCCTGAGAAAGACGTGAAAGCCCAAGGAAGGATGTTCTATCTGAAATGATTCTGCTGAAAAGAAGTACTGCTTAGGTACAGCCAAAATGATGCTGTCTCATGTGTTGAAAAACTTTCCTTGGGAGGCCTGCTGTGGCTGGAAACCACAGAGCTAGTCTGCGGGTGTGACTGGAGAAGGCTTGAAGTGATAGAGGGTTGGAGAAGTTTTGGTGGCTGGAGGTGAGTGTGACGCTGAGTCCAAATCCCTCTTCCTGTACCTGTGTCTTCTGTGGGTCACTCATCCCACATGGTTGGACACAGGTAGACCATTAGGGCTGGTGCTGGCTGAAGTCTGGGGTTGAGGTTTAGGGCTAACTGTGGATGTATCCTCACATCCTTGGGGCCAGGTGGGCATCACCTGAGATTCCACCAGGCAGAGATGTCTGTTTGCAAACAAAAATAATAGCAACCCCCCAGGACTCTCTCACTACTCCTTGCACAGAAAGTGTGGGGGACCTGTGAGGTTCAGGCCTGCCCAGATGGGTTTCCCTGCCTTGTCCATAGGCTCTATAGTTGCATCTTCTGATGGGACAATTTGACCAGAGAGTCCCAGAGGTGGGGGCAATTCCCCATGCATGGCACAAAGCTTTGGTGTCAAGGAAATGCTGCCTCAATTGCTGTGCCTTTTTCCTGGCTTGGAGGGAGGGTCCCTAGAATGTGGATGAGGTTTGCAGATGGGCAGCACAAGCTGAGGACACCAGCTAAGATCTGCCTTTCACTCCCTTCCCCCAGCTCCCTCGCAAGCATTTCCTAAGAATGCAAGTGGAGGGATGCAGGACCAAGTGAAACAAATGACCTGGAGGGCTGGCAAAGGCTTGGCATGAGTGGAGTGTCGTGGCTGTTGCTTGCGAAAGACCAGAGTCTGGAGCACATTAAACAATAACAACAACAACAAAGGGAGCTGTGGTGGCAGCAGGCTGCTTAGTAACTCATCTCTCTGGCTCGGGGTCCAGAAATGTCCACCTCTCTGAGGAGCCTGTTTTCTTCTCCACCCAGTCCACATAGTTAGAGACCTTGGTGTACACACCGTACACTTGCTTGCTGCCACACTCCTCTGGGCCACCCCATGAGACCAGCCCTTGGGCCACCCACCTCCGGGTTCCCGGGTCCTGGATGACAAAGGCTCCCCCGCTGTCTCCCAAACAAGTGTCCTTCCCACCTTCGTAGTAGCCGGCGCAGAACATGTTCTCGGTCACGCTGTAGTTCCCTGACCGTGACTCGTAGCTGGTCTTGCACTCGGCGTGCAGCACCACTGGCAGCTTGACATACTGCAGGATGTCAGACAGAGTCCTCATGCCCGAGCTGATGATCTCATCCACTGTGATGTTGGGGTTGGAGATACCCCAGCCAGCCACCAGCCCCAGCGTGTTGGGGT